TCTGTCCTACAAAATATCAGATGTCTTTATCTCTCCTCCTTCTTTCCCTGTCCTCTTTCTGTCCTACAAAATATCAGATGTCTTTATCTCTCCTCCTTCTTTCCCTGTCCTCTTTCTGTCCTACAAAATATCAGATGTCTTTATCTCTCCTCCTTCTTTCCTATAAAACGTAAATCTTCCTTTTCTCTCATCCTTCAGTACTACCAAAAAAAGATTGTCCTTATCTCTCCTTCTTTTCTATCAAAAGTCTATCGTCCTTATCTTTCCTCTTTCTTTCCTTCCAATTGCCTGTTTATCCATATCTCTCCTCCTTACTTCCTAAAAAAGTCTGTTTGTCCGTACATTTCCTTATTCGTTCCTAATAAAAGTCTATTGTCCTAAAGCTCGTGGAAATCAGAATGGAAATAATAGCTCGATGAAAGCAGAATGGAAAGGAAAGCTCGGGGAAATCAGAATAGTTCGCCATTATCTCACCTACTTATTTCCTACCAAAGTCTGTCGTACCTTTTGTCTCCTGTTCATTTCTCACAAAAGGTATATCGTCCTTCTTTCCTATTCAACATCTATCCTCCTTATCTCTCCTACTTCTTTCCTATCAAACATATATCGTCCTTCTTTCCTATCAAACATATATCGTCCTTCTTTCCTATCAAACATCTATCGTCCTTATCTCTCCTCCTTCTTTCCTATTCAACATCTATCCTCCTTATCTCTCCTCCTTCTTTCCTATCAAACATATATCCTCCTTATCTCTCCTCCTTCTTTCCTATCAAACATATACCCTCCTTATCTCTCCTCCTTCTTTCCTATTCAACATATATCCTCCTTATCTCTCCTCCTTCTTTTCTATCAAACATATATCCTCCTTATCTCTCCTCCTTCTTTCCAACCAAAAGTTTGTCGTCCTTATCTCTCCTCCTTCTTTCCTGTCAAATATCAATCGTCCTTATCTCTCCTCCTTATTTCCTACCAAACATCTATCGTCCTTATCTCTCCTCCTTCTTTCCTATCAAACATCTATCGTCCTTATCTCTCTCCTCCTTCTTTCCTGTCAAACATATATCCACCTTATCTCTCCTCCTTCTTTCCTATCAAACATCTATCGTCCTTTTCTCTCCTCCTTCTTTCCTATCAAACATCTATCGTCCTTATCTCTCCTCCTTCTTTCCAACCAAATGTCTGTCGTCCTTATCTCTCTCCTCCTTCTTTCCTTTCAAATATCTATCGTCCTTATCTCTCCTCCTTCTTTCCTATCAAACATCTATCGTCCTTATCTCTCCTCCTTCTTTCCTATCAAACATCTATCGTCCTTATCTCTCTCCTCCTTCTTTCCTGTCAAACATATATCCACCTTATCTCTCCTCCTTCTTTCCTATCAAACATCTATCGTCCTTTTCTCTCCTCCTTCTTTCCTATCAAACATCTATCGTCCTTATCTCTCC